CTCTCAAGGTTTTTGTAAAAGAAGAATAGAGAGGGTACTGGGGTTGTGGCTCAGTGGTAGAGCACTTTCCTAATATGTGTGAAGCATGAGGTTGGATTCTCAACACCACATATAAATAAATGAATAAAATAAAGGTCCATCAACAACTAAAAATACATGTAAAAATAATTTTTAAAAAAAGAAGCAGAGGGTAGGAACACTAGCTTGAGAACTAAAGAAAATTTTTGTCTTTACTTTCTTTTGTTTTTCTAAAACAAGTACTTATTTTTAAGTTGAGAGAAAAAAAACAATTGAGAAGGAAAAACTGAAGATGAAAGAAAAATGGGGAAAATAAAACAAGATCATGAAATGAAAAACAGATGGTTTCATACATGCAATTGGAAACATTGGCATTGAGCAAGAAAGGGTCTTTTCTTTCTCAAAGGCATAGGTAAAAACAGATATTCTAAGGTATGCACATCCCTCCTTATAAGTCTCTTAATTCTCAGCAAAGCTGAAACATGGATCAACATCTTTCTTCACTATTAAAACAACAAGAGGAATATAAACGCTATGGCCTATATTTCTACTTCTTTCCTATTATGTGAATTCCAGTCAAAGGTTTTGCAAAAATCACCTTTAGTTTGAACAACACAAAAACAATAGAACTTTCCTAAGCATTGCTCCTTAATATTCCCTACCTAAATAGGAGTCTTGAGTTCACTGATTGCAGAGATGCTAAGTAACCATGTCGCTATCTAACCTTACCTTACCAAACTGGCCTGACACAGGAAATAACTTCAAGTGCAAATGTAACTGCATAGTTTACTTGGCTTCCTCCTCTCCTTCTATAAATTTGATGGTTTTCACAAAAGGGAAAATTTGCCAAAAAACACAAAAAAGATATTTGTTTTCTTAACACTGAAATTTGTTATTTAGCTCATAATACAAAAAATAGTACCCATATCTATTCTAGAATAGGAACTCTGAAAATTTTTGAGTTGTTAGAATGATTTCATCACGAAACTCTCTTCCATCCACTAAAAGGTTGCATCATGTTTTATTGTTAGAGAAAAATAGATTTGTTATAGAGAATTATAGTCAAGATTAAGTATAAACAATTTTTATGTGCTTCAAGGGATTATATTTTGAGCATACAGCATGAGAAGGTGATAAATACAATATTTATTATTTACACTGACATTTACTATTAAATTTTTGACAACAGTGTACTTTGTATAACAGATTTATAATATTCAATGCTTATAGACTTTTTTTGAGACTAGTATTTCTAAGATGGATTGTAATGATAAGGGGAATGAAAAGGTTGATAATATTGATTAGATACCCTTTGTAGTCTAGGATCTGGCATATAATTAGCCTCAAATTTGTGCCATAGACCTACCTCTAGCTATTTGATAAAACATTTATTAATTGGGAGAGAGAAACCTACTAGAGTTGCTTCCAGGTATATGTACAGGATAGTTTCCTCTTTTTTTTTTTTTTTCCTGTGTTTTCTAGCAAGGCATCCTTCAGCTCTGGAAGACTAGGTGATCTCCACAACATAAATCCTCATATGATTCATCATCCCTTATAATTCACCAGATGCTAATATTATACCTGCTTTCTTACTTGGAACACATTTTCTCCTACTTGGAGGACTATTTTTTACCTTCCTTTTAATTATGGAATTCTTACTTTACCTTCAAAAACCAACTAGCATTCCATTTTCTCCATCAGACCTTCTCCAAAAGTCCCAGACTCCTCAATTGCTGGCTTGCCGATGTTCTGGTACCATGGTGTGTCAATGGATAAGATATCAAGTCTTTTTAGTGGGATATGGTAGCATATACCTGTAATCTCAGTTACTCAGGAGGTTGAGCAAGAGGATTACAAGTTTGAGGCCAGCCTCAGCAATTTAGTGAAGCCCTAAGTAACTTAGTGAGACTATATTTCAAGATACAAAATATAAAGCTTGGGGATGTAGTTCAGTAGTTAGGCGTCCCTGGGTTAAATCCCCAGTACTAAAAAAAAAAAAAAAAAAAGGTGTCAAATCTTTCTGTCATGACTTGAGTTTCTGGAAAATATCAATATGAATTAAAGAATTCGAAAGCTGTTAGCTAAGTAGGTAACAATGTATACAGTGTACCCATTAAAGCAAAGAGGATATTGCTCCTAGATCCTGCATGAAAAGCCAATGAGTGTAATACTGATCAGTGGAAATTTCACTGAACGAAATCTCAAGCTGACATTTTCCTTCTCTGACATGTCAGAGTAGAACTCAGTAGCAAGAGCACAAAACTGTGCCTATCACTCCTTGAGAACTATGAATTAAATGAATGTGAGGGAGAACCTAAAATAATAACTTGGTTAGACATTACAGTTCTGTTCACTGTGGGGAGAAAAGTGAACCAGAGATGACAGTGTAACCAGAGAAGACCTCATTCCTGCATCAGCACAACCTCTGCTCCATGACAGGCTTCTATCCAGGGGACATAAAGACCAGGTGGTTCTGGAATGGACAGGAGGAGAGAGCTGGCATTATGTCCACTGGTCTTATTAGGAATGGAGACTGGACCTTTCAGACCATAGTGATGCTGGAAGCGACTCCTTCATCTGGAGATGTTTACAGCTGTCTTGTTGAGCACCCCAGTCTGTTGAGCCCTGTTTCTGTGGAGTGGAGAGATCAGTATGAATATTCTTGGAAAAAGATACCAAATGGAGTTGGAGCCTTCCTGCTTGGGCTAATTGTCCTTATGGTGGGGATTGTCATCCACCTCAGGGCTAGGAAAGGATCTGTGGAGACTCAGTCTGGTGATGAGGTCTCAAGAGCTATTCCACAGCAGCCATACTCAGATCCTAATCAAAGCTTCTCTCCTGAAGCCTGAAGTAGTGCCGTGGCTTAGGTAAAGGACATTGGAGAGGCCACTGTTCTGGGAATGACTTTGTTCCATGATCCTTGGAGTCCTGAATGGATTTTGGAGTTTTGTGCTGTGAGATCGTGCATCCTCTGCCCTCTGTCCTTCCTCTGATTGTGTGCTTCATTAGTTCCCATTTCAAATACATGGTCCAGAAATTTCCAGAAGGCCTAACTCCTTCCAGTCCCTAATTGTACTTTTCTGTAGCCCAGCCCTAACCCCACCAATTCCTAAATCTGTCTTTCAACTGCAGTCTCCATGGTCTTCAGAAAATAGATGCTCAGTCACTGTTTCCACTTACTATTTAAAAAAAAACAATTAATAAAACAGAAATACAGATAAACACACACACACACACACACACACACATACACAAAAGATATTATATTACAGTTCTGGTCTGTTAGTGATTGGACTTTATCTTTACCATGAGAAATATTTTATTGCAAAATATATTCTTTACACATCCTCAAGGCAATGACCTCTTTACATCCTGTGCCTCTAATCTAACATGATTTAAGTAATAAGTAATATTCTATTTCAGGTTGTTGACAATGATTGCTGCCAAATATTCCCTTTAGGTAAGGGTTCCTACATTCTAAAGTCACCTTCTCTTAAGATCGACAGCAATTTTGAAACATTAAATAGCATCCATCTAGAGTCAGTAACAAGATTTTCAAGTTTTTATGCATGTATGTGTGCACATACACTTCTTGTACATTTTGAACACATCCTTTTTAAATCAAATGAAGACAGTGTATGTCTAAGGTACAGTTTGTGAAAGTCAAATTTTCATCCATGATAACATAGGCAGGCTTTAAAGTGCATGTCGCTAGAATTTCGTCTTATTGAATATTCAAAAATAGGCATGCAAAAATAAGAAAACAAATTTATTTTAGTATAGTAAAACCAATTTCAATATAGCTTCAAGAAAGATGGAAAATAAACTTCAAACTGGGGGACTTGGCCATAAAAATGTACTGAGGTAGTTTATTCTTCTCATTTCCTGTAACTTCTGATCAAAAGTCAATGTTCTTGTGACCTACAGAGCTGTTTGTTTGACCTCCATTATAGACTGAGCTGTTAATAAAATTTAATGTACTCACAAGGATTCAATGGCTAATAAAAAGGGATAGATTTGAGGACTTTGCCACTCCCTTTATGCACAAAATTTACCTTAAACTGAAAGCTGTTTTGTGTTCCTTTACTCCCCTCTGCTGGTAAATTCTAATATAGTTTTTAACTTATTTTTTTTAAGTCAAATTGATAGAAGTATCCATTGCTTTTTTAAAATTATAAAACAACACTGAACACTGTGAAAAATTATTCAATCTTTTCCAAAAATACACTTCTTTTGATTTGAAATTTCATTTTTTTTAATATGTCACTGTCCTATAATTTGTTTCTAATGTCCAGATGTGTTTACTCCCACCACCCCCTCTAATATTGGATGAATGGTCAAGAGAATACAACCAGGTGAAATAGGAAGTGTGTCTAGCAATAGAAACTGAACTAATTTACAAATTGAAATAGTACCTGACCATACTTTGTTTATATTGTCATGTAAAACTACAAAGCATTCTCAAAACTCATTTATTTCTTGCAACAGTACCATAAGATAGGTATACACATTCTAAAATCTAGAACTTACTGTCTCTAAAAAAGCTTTCAGAAAAGATTACCCGGGTCAGGCTCAAGTAAAATTCTGAAATAGATTCATGCATTTGTTGCCCCCAGCTGTTCCTTTTTGCCATTTCCCCCATGACCCCTCTCTTTTTCCCTCAGGAAACCCTTAGTCTGATTCTATCAAGTCCTCTCATTAGAAAATGAAGTGCCTAGAACACTTATTCACAGGAAATGTCTCATCTGACTGGAAAATTTGCATTTGAAAAGCAAGTCTGAACTAAAGCCAAAGCAACCAGCCCCTAACAGGAAATCACAGAGATCAGAGAGGATTTTTTTTTTTTTTAAGATAGCAAGGTTTTAATTGTCACTCAAATCAAAAAGTGATGGCTTTGGAGTCAAGGTTGCTCTCAAAGTCTCCAGTGTGTTCCACAGAAAAGGTAAGGCAAGCAACAACATGAGTCTTAGGCAGAGCATGGATTTGGGGGGCAGGCAGATCCAATTGGAATCTCATGCTGCCATTTAATGGCTTCAGATATACATTTTTCTTAACCTCTTTAAACTCAGCTTTCTTATTTGTAAAATGGGGATAATATACATTTCATAGGTATGTTGCAAGGATTAAGGCCTGGCATATTACATCCAATAAATCTAGTTCCTTCACTCTCTTATCCTTGATGGAGCTTCTTAGATAGCAGTGTAATGTAGGTTTTGCAAATGACAAGGCAGTAACACCACTAATAATTTTGCTAAGAGGTTAATAAATGAATAAAGGTGAATAAATGCTTTCCTAAGTAACTTTTCCTAGGGACTCTTTCCTAGATATATTTCCAATTAGATAAGATCTCATATTGCTTTATACAAGTATTGCTGTAGGTATATACTTTATTCTGAATGTGAGATATCCAATATGTTTCTTTTTGCCCACTTTCTTCCTGTGCTATGAAGCTACTATCTTTACTTAACAGCCACTTCTGCTAATATGCAGTGCAGAGGAACAGAATCCATGCAGAGTTGTCTCTGCTCATGGAAAGTGGAACAACAGGTCACACATTGACATCATAGGGCAATGGACCAGGTGTCTAATATCCTCAAGTCACTTTCACTGCCTTAGTCACCAGGCCAGTTTCAAATGTATGAAGATGTCTCATCTGCTGGCTCCATTGCCATTCATTTCTTATCTTCCCCTGAGTCTTTCAGGAAGGCTGCAAAGCAAGAACACACAGAGTCCCATAGAAAAATAATTCTGTGAACACAAAGAGCAGTTCAATGAATTGAGATTGCTGGAAGGGGGTAAGTGAATTCACCCCTGCTTTAATTTTGGTCATAAAAAATGCTCTTAGGTAGTTCATTCTTCTCATCCCCTATAAATTCTGATCAAAAGTCAAGGCATTAGGACTTTAATGCCTCATATATTTTGTGGATTATAGTGACGTACTTTACTGTGATGACCTTTTCAATATTCTGTAATTTGCTTGACTGATCTTGGAGATCTCCTCTGTTTACAGCATTATTGACTTCCACAAGAGGCACACAGAATTAAAAAACACACTAAACTCAGTAGGGGAAACTTGCAAATGGGGCATCCCACACTTTCCATATGAATCTATTAGGGAAAGAGGGTTGTTGTCCTTTTACCTGGTACTAAGCATCTGGAGGTAAAGTTCAACACAGAAGGCCTTTGTCTTTCTAAGAAGCAGGGAGAAAGAACACATGTGAAAGATCCAGGGTAATAATTTCTAAGTATTGTGTTGCATAGATGGTAAAAGAGTTCTACCTTTCAGCTTCTCACCCAGCTGTCAAATTTTCCTGAAGGCTAAGACTTCTAACTCTGTACTGGCTAGAAGTATCTATAATAAAAGTAGTTAATAGTTTATTGGGGTCTTTTATGCTCCAGGCAAAGTAGTAAGAATATTACATATGTCATGCTATTCTCATAACAATTCTTTGAGGTGGATACTGTAATAATTTCCATTTTATATATGAGGAATTTGGGGCTCAGACATGTTAGATACTTACCCATAATTAAGTGGTAGAACTGGAATTCAAACCCAGGTTGTTTGAACTCATTCTCCAGTATGGTCATAAAAATACACCACTTACATTTCCTGCTGCAAGAAACATGAATCAAATTAGCGAGGGCCTAAGCTAAGACCTTGAAACAAAATAAAAAAATAAAAAGGGCTGGGGGTATAGCTCCCAGCTACTAGGCCTCTGGATCACCACTGTTTTCAGTCTGAACTGCTCCCAGCCAAGAACTAAAGGTTATTGATACTGGCCTATCCATTCCTATAAGGTGCTAGGACTCTTCTAACATGTGATGTTGGTGAGGAACTTCCCATGACTATCCTGATCTTCTTAGAACTGTTCTGTAGTTTGAGGTGCCTCCTTATGCAAGTCTTCCTCTTTCCTCCTCTTTTTGTATCTGAACCACATTCTGATCTAAAGGCTGTCCTGCCTGCTGCTACCATCTTTGGTTTATCCTTCTCAGCAATTCTAATACCCGTCTTTCACATGTAATCCTGTCTTGGTATCTGCTTCTCGGTGGCCCCCAAAACATTTTACCCCTGGAAAATGGCATAAAATTCTCTATCCTTGTCTGCTAATACAAGGGCCAAAAAAGAAATGCCAGTGACTTCTGAGTTGTCGAATTGTCTACCTTTGGAAGGCATTTGATGGTTTCAAATTATTATTTCTCTCATACCTATTCTACCTTCTCTTTATTTTGAAAGGGTAAAGTTTCTAAGCTGCAAAGCCTGAGTTAAAATGTAAAGGAGACTAGGTATTGTAAAGTTTCTGAACTGCACACAGAACCTGAAATTCCTGAGGCAGTTAAGACAATGCCTGATACTGACCATTTAGTTGTTAAATAACCTAGACCCTGTGCAGTTTGGCACGTAGGCATTCAGGGCCCAAACCAATCAGTTTGAATGTACCCCCCTTCTTAGAAGTGACCTTTCACCCCCGCCCGACCTGTTCCTGCCAATGAATGGACTAATCATGTTTGAGAGCTGTTGTTCGATTTCCCCATTTTCCCGTGGTGTATGGTGATTTGTTAAAGGAGACTGTGATGTATGCAAAGCCCCCGCCCTCCCCAAAAAGTGTACTTAAGCACTGCTCAACCCCTTCTTGGGGCTCTGGGCTGCTCTTCCTTCTTGAGTGAGCACAGAGCCCCAGCATGCTGGATTCTCAATAAACCCCCTTCTGCAGTTGCATGAGTTGGTCTCTTGGTGGTCTCTTCCTCTGACGTTCGCCGGACCCTTACAATTTTAATGAAAAAACATGTGATCTACAAATAAGTACAGATTTCTTATATCAGAGGGACTTAAAAAAACCTGTTTGACTAAAGCTTGTCAACACTGTGAGAATGCATTGATAAGAAAGCCCAATAAATATCAGAGGTACCACTTTGAAGGGTGTTCTCCATGGGTTTATGTGAACACAGTGCAGGGTACACCAAAGCTCATTCCCCAAACACCAGCCACCAGAGGTATAATTCATCAGTCTACAGCCTCATTCCCTCTCATATTGCAAAGTCTCAGCACACAATGGTGTACTGAAGGCCATAGAGCTCCCACAGCAAATAAACTGGTTTTAATTCCCACATTTATTTGATGAGGAGTCTGCTTTTTAACATGCTGCAGGAATAGGGATCTAAGTCAGTGTATAGATACATTGATCTATGGCTTCTCCTGCTTTCTCTAATACCAACTGTAGAATCTTTTGATTTGCATTCTCAAGATGTTTTGGTCAGATTTTGCAATTTTTGGGTTTTTATTTTTCAATTTGTTCTAATTAGTTATACATGACAGTGGAATGCATCTTGGCATATTGTACACAAATGTACCCTATTCTATTTTTAAGAGTGGTGGCAACTGACAGTTTTTCTTGTTAATATGTATTCCTTCTAACTCAAAAAGAATTCACTGAGAACTCTTCAAAGTCCAGGCTTCATGCTGTGTGGGAAGTGAACATGAATCTGGCCCCTGCTTTCTCTAGGGACTTGGACCTAGGAGGAAAGGACTCAGGTGCTGGAGATCAACCAAAGACCCCATGCTTGCTAAGCAAACACTGTACCACTGAGCCATATCCCCAGCTCTAGAAATTTTCTTAAAAATATACATCAATCTCTTACCTGCAAGTCTCTGTAGGTGATCACTGTCTGCATATTTGACTTTTTTTTTTTATCAGTTATTTGAGAGCTGGCACGAGTCCTAGCTTACTCTTTTGGATCTCAGAACCCCCTACAAGCCAATCTAAAGAGAAAGAAAACTCAAGGCTTGAAAGACAAATGGTCTAGTCAGCTCCTCGAGGTCCTCCTCTGGATGCTCTCCATTTTTTGTTTAACTTGCATGTAATAAAGCACAACAAAACACTTGATTTCCCACTTGAAAAGCCAGGGTATAAAACATTTTTTAGTTTAGGCCATTGTCTTTGAACTGACAAATCACCTAGAAATCTTATGCAGATTCTGATTCAGCAGGTCTGAGGTGGGGCTGAAGTCACTTCTTTTCTATTTCCAGGAGATGCCAATGCTGCTCATCCATGGACCACATTTTAGTAGCAAGGCTCTAGGTTAGTGTGCTGTTTAGGGAAAACCATTGACCCTGTATTTTAAGTTAAACTACCTGAAAAACAGAGGTGAGGTGGAGTTGTGACCTCAAGAGGTTTATTAGCAAGAGCTCTTGGAAGAACAAAAGTAAAGGCATGAAAAAACCAGGATTGGTCAGGTTGAGAAGTTGACGGTGAGAGTTGCCAAGTAAGCTTCAGCAGATTCTATAGGGAGCTCAGGAGTTGGGATGTCTTTCAGTTGTCTTTGAGTTGAGGCAAGGGGATCAGGCTTATGTACCCCCACATTAGCCAGTCAAGAAATGCTGACTGTCCCCTCAGAGGCATCATGAAATGGGGCAGCTCCTTTCCACAGAACAGTTCTGCAGGGGAAACATAGCTGTGAGTCATCAGTAGCCAACACTCCTATGAGTGGGGAAAGTGAGCTCCTCAGCCCTACAGGAAGACCTAGGTAAAAACACCAATATCTTCAACTCTGGTGACAGCCCTAGTAACCTGAGAAAAATCTATATTATTTCCAAATCCAAACTTAGAATATGACAGAAATTCATCTGTTTGAGTCAGCTTTTTCACTTTTGTGACTAGAAGGTCTGACAAGAACAATTGTAGAGGAGGAAAAGTTTATTTTGGGGCTCCCAGTTTCAGAGATCTCCATTCATAGACAGCAGGCTCCATTCCTCAGGTCTCAAGGTGAGGCAGAACATAAAGGTGGAAGGGTGTGACAGAGGGAAGCAGCTCACATGATATCAGGAAGCAGAGAGATTCCACTTGCCAGATTCAAAATATATACCCAAAAGACATACCCCCAATGACCTACCTCCTCCAACCACACCCTACCCACCCTTCAGTTACCACCCAGTTAATCCTGTCAGGGGATTAATTCACCAATTTAATGGATTTAAGACTCATTTCTTCTCTAAACCTTGCATTGTCTCACATCCAAACAATAGCACTCTCCACATATGTCCATTTTATTAATAAATGGAATCACATGTCTGTGGGAAGTGCCAAGTTCTGGAGACAGTGATTCCAGGAACAATCATTTTTATTCACAGAAGAAAACTCTGGACCTAATTTGAAAGCTACACAAATCATCTTACTTCAAGCAGGAATGCAGGAAAAAGGTTCAGGAAGGTCCTTTGCAGGCTAATTCATTGGTTGACTCATAGAAAAGAAAATGATGTGTGCCATCTAATGGTAGCAACTAAAGCACACTCTAATACTTAAAGATGTTTTGTCTTTTCCTATTCAAGGAACTCCAATAAGAGTTTCAGTAATAACGTTTAGCTACTTTTAAAGTAACATGTCCAGGAATTGAGAGCCATATGGAAAAAGATAAAATTTGATCCGTTCTTTTTTTTTAAGATATTTATTTTTTAGTTTTAGGTGGACACAATATCTTTATTTTATTTTTATGTGGTGCTGAGAATCGAACCCAGTACCTCACACATGCTAGGCGAACGCACTACCACTTGAGCCACATCCCCAGCCCAAAATTTGATCCATTCTTTACTTTCTAAAATGGATAAATTCCAAAAAGATCAGAGAACAAAAAACAAACAAAAACCAAACAACACCAACAACAAAAACACAAAATCTAACAGTACCAGGAAAACCTAGAATAGAAAAACTAGTACAAGCATTCACAGGAGTGAATTGCTTTAAAACTGACTAGAATCTAGAAGCATTAAGGAAAGAAACTAGTTAACTACATATTTGACAAAGAGAAAAAAGCAAAGCAAAATGCCCTCCCACCTGACAATGTATAACCTATATCACAGAGTTAATACAAATTTTCTAATTTTTTAAAAAATGGTCATCTCAATAGAAAAGAAAAAGAAATGCAAATAGCCCTTAAATAGATTAAAAGATTAGTTCATTTATTTGTTTGTTTTGCATTTTAGGAGTTACTTTCTCATTTTACTTTGTATTTTAAACATGTTAAGCATTTACAGGCTGGGTGTAGTGGCACACTCCTGTAATCCCAGCAGTTCCATAGGCTGAAGTTGAGGATTGCAAGCTTAAAGCCAGCCTCAGCAATTTATCTAGTCCCTAAGCAACTTAGGGAGACACTGTCTCAAAATTTAAAAAAAGGTGGTGGTGGTGGGGGTACTGGTGATGTGGCTCAGTAGTTAAGCATTCCTAGATTCAATTCCTGGTATAAGAACAAAACAAACAAAAAAACCCCAAGTTACAGGCTTTTAATGTCAAGCTACAAAACAAGAACTATTCAAAGAGGTCTAGCTTCTTATTCTTATCCTCTCCTTCACTTATTCTACTCTTCTTACTTGCTACCACTTTTATTAGATTTTATTTACTTTTCCACTGCTTATTTTTGAAATTATAAACAAGTATCCCCATGTATATTTCTAATTTCCTTTACCCCAAAGTTAGAATATTATACATTGTTTCAACAGTGCATTACTTTTTCTAACTGACTTCTTAGTGGTATATCTTCCATATTCCTTAACTGCTTCATAATACATCATTGTATGTATGTACCATTTGCATAAATGCTTTACATCATCATAATAAGATAAATGCTAAACTATACTGAAACACCATCGCTCATCTGTCAAATTAGCAAAAATTTTTGAGTCTGACCATCCACTCTATTGGAAAAGACATGAGGAAACAGTAACTCTTATACATTGCTGATGTGAATACAAAATTGCACAAGCATTATAAAGGGGAATTTGGCAATAGTAAATAAAATGACATGTTCTATTACCCTTTGACTTAGCAATCCCACTTGTGGTAAACTGTTAAACACACACTGGCAAAGGCATATTCTACATGCACAGAGAATCTTTTATTATTATAGCAGAAGACTAGAAATAACCCACATCTCCTACCAATACATTCATATATAAGGCAAGAGAACCTAAGTCCAGTTTGTTTAAAACATAGTATCTTGACTATATATCCCAGTGGGATACAGATAAAGAAAAAAAGCCACACACGAAACTTAAAACATTATTTATCAGTCCTATTTTAGCAATGTCATTACTCTTATTCATGTTTTAGTTTTTCTTTGCTCTACTGTTGTTCTGTTTTCTCTCTCTCTATTTATATATATATATATATATATGTATAATTAGAGCTAGATGAAGCAAATAAGCAACTATGTTAATATCAGTGTGAACCAATATTTTCATCATAAGAGAAAAGAACACAAAAAATACCAAACAAAATCAAAATGGTTAACTTTAAAAAAGTACACATAACTACAAGATAGATGAACCTTGAAAACATTATAATTAAATGAAAGAAGTCAGTCACAAAAGATTACACACTACATGATTCAATCTATGTAAAAAGTCCATTGAGTGGAAAGTTTACAGAAAGAAGTCAATAAGTGTTTGACCATATCTGGGAGGAGAGGGGGTGGGGGTGGGGGTGGGTGTTGAAAAGCAGAGTGACTGTGCAGAGTGACTGTCAAAAGTACAGGTGTTCTCCTTGGGTAGTGACAGTGCTTTAAACTTAGATCTTACTAATGATTACACAACTCTGTGAATATACTAAATACCATTGAATTGCAAACTTAAATTGAAAAAAAATTTTACACGAATTACATCTGAATAAAGGTGTTTAAAGGAAAAAAGCATTCAGACATAGATAAGAAAAAGGCACCTAACATTCAAGAACAGGAAATCTGAGCCATCTAAAACCCAGAACTCTATGAAGTTTGGAGAAGGGATGAGGCTAAACATATCACAAGTTATTTTTTTAAAGTTACATATGAAGCAAGAAAAGACCAGAAATAGGTTCAATTTCAACTCTCTTGCACATTTCTTGTCAAAACGATATTTCTGCAGGAATTTGCCTCCTAAAGCTGGTTCTACTTACCTATCTCACCTTCACTTTTCACCAAGTTAATTTCTGTTGATTCTTCTGGTCAGTTAATCATTAATATGTTGCTCTCCCACACCAGGTATTTTATATGCGCTATCATAGAATCATGTTTCTTTCCTTAGTATATTGATAAAGACCCCAAATTTCCCTTTTCTCTTCAAGGGCTGAACCTGAATCTACTTTTTTTAAAAAATATATTTTTTAGTTATACATGGACACAATATCAGTGCCTCACATGTGCGAGACAAGTACTCTGCCACAGCCCAGAACCTGCATCTACTTTTGCTCATCATCCTATAACATAATGTACGCTCAATGAACAACTGTAAAAATAACACAAAATGCTTAATTTCTCTTTTGTTCTTTTCTCTTCACTCAACAGACTTTTCTTTAGATGGGGAAGAGTAGAATAGCTAAGGACTTGGACTCCAAAAGGAGCAAAATTATTCCAAGAAAAATTTCTCTACTTAAATTAATTCGCTGGGCAAATATCCATTTATTTAGCCCCTGACACTATTAACTAAGGGGGATACAATGAGTGCATGAGTTCTGTCGCTGCTCTTTTAGGTGTGCACTGTGAGACGGGGCAGTAGTAAATGTGTACCAAGTTGCCTGTATTTAAATTGAGTCCAAGTTTCCCGCCCTAAGAGAATTACATCCAGTAAACAGAACATCCCGACGGGATTGCTGGTGTTTGAGAACGGAAAGGCAGGTTGGAGACGGGAGCCGCATTTCAACAATGTCGGAGTTGGAAGTGGTCGCGGGCAAGGTTGGAGGTCCTCCGGGTCTTCTAAATCCAACCCCCCCAGAATGAAGCTTCTGCAGCAGCATCTGCCCGCAGACCTAAACATTACCGGCAAAAAGAAACCTATTTCCATAGCCTGACTTCTCACCAATAATGGTAGATCAGGGTTACTGAAACCAGACTTTGTATATCCTGACTCAAATTGTCTCACCTCGGGCTCCGTAGAATCGGTTTTCGCCGCCAGAGGGCTTTCAGCTTCAGCCAAGGTCTAAGGCAAGATAATGAGGTGTCTAGTGCATATCCCCGAATATATTATCTCGGAAGCAGGCCTGGTATACTCAACACACTTTAAATGGAAGTTTTCTCCAAAAACATATGACAATAAAGGAGCAAGTAAAATTCTCGTTTTTTGTTTTTTTTTTTTAATTTTAGTTTTGCCTGCCACACCCATCGCGATCTCTCCTCTCCCAGCCTCCCTAGACAGGCAGCTTCTGGCCACCCTCGGAGGGCCTGATTTTGAAAAGCAGAGTGGGCCAATCAGAGAGGAGCACTGTTTGGCGCTGCCATTTGAGCTGAGTCTGGAACTGCGGGTGTGACGGCCGCGGCGGCTTGAAGGCATGGGGAGAGCTACTTGGTTATAGTCTGCACTCCTGGATGTGCAGGCCGGGAGCTTCATGAAGGCTGATGGGGAGAAGGAGAAGCCTGTGAAACGGGGTGACGGCGGCGACCAGCCCGGGCGGGGACCGGGACTGGAAAAGAGCCTGAGCAGCCGGCTGGTCCGGCGGCTGGGCTGGGGAGGGGGTCGCGGGAGCCGAGACTCAAACGCCCAGCAGTGTCAGCCTGGGCTGGAGTGGCTAGGGGAACGGTCTTCTTTACATTAATCAAGAGAGCTGGAGTGGGAAGAGTGAAGTTTGGAGGAAAGGGGATCATTGCAAGTGACCGGAAGCGGTGAGAAGCTGACAACAGGCGTTGGTGCGAGGAAGTGAAAGGATCAAGGGAGAAAGAAGGGAGGTCCGTGTAAGTAGCGGAAGGGATTTGGTAATCAGAAAGAAGGTAGGTGTAAGTGAAAGCAGAGTGAAGTGTGGCTGGATCAAGAGGCCAGTTGAAGAGCGTTTGTGTAAGTGGATAGAGGATCGAGGAAAAGCCGTGGAAGTGGCCGGGGCCCAGGGCTGGAGGAGTGCCAAAGGTGGCCTGAAGGCTGCGGAGCGGAGCTCAAACCTGAGAGTGTTTGGAAATTGGAAGACTTGGTGGCGAACGAGAATCAGGAACCTGCCTCAAAGAGTGGGCGACGTATCCGGGATGTGGGATAAGAGGCTGGTCAGATTGGCCTTGTTGCAGCAGCTTCGGGCTGTTTACGGCATTAAGGTCAAGGGTGGACGTGGGCAGTGTGACCGCAGGAGACAAGAAACAGCAGCCACGGAAGTAGGGGTAAGTTCTGGAAAAACCATTTAGGTTAAAAATGGGTGGTCACACCTGGTACCGTGACCAGTTACCAGATCATATATAAGACGTTCACTCTTTGGATCAAAAGTGATATTGTTACGTGTGTCTAACTCTGTCCATGTGGTCACCTATTGATATTTAAATAAAGAGCTTTCTTAATTCTTTTCAGGATCTTTTGGTCACTGAGAGAAAGTTGCAACGTTTTCCAACTTCAGCATTATTGAAATGTTAGACTATAATTGTCAGGGAAAAGGAATGGATTTAATAGCATCTCTGGCTTCTACCCAGTAGACTACCAGTAGCTTACTTCACTTATGACAACCAAAAATGTCTCCAGATATTGGCTATTTATTTATTTATTTGGTTTTGAGGTACTGGAGACTAAGAACTCAGAGCAAAGCCACACACTTCTTAATCAATGACACGTTTTTTTAAGAAGTTGGAATGCAGGTACAAAAACAGTGGCAGATGCTTTATTTGCTCTTGGATGTGCAAAAACATTTAAGTTTACCAATACACAAGTTTATTCTTCGGATTCCTCAGTGTATTAAAATTTGTGCATTTTTTAAAAAATGAGTTTCAAGATAGTTAGATGAAATTTAACTTAAATATTTGCCAAAGTGCAGCCTTGTATACCTCAGGACATAGTTTGAAAAGTAGTTTCTATAGAGTGTGGAAAAGAGGTCTAAAAGTAACCACCACCACCCCTCAGTGACAAGGGTGAAACTCAGAGCCTGGCATTTTCACTGTACCAGTGAGCATGGGCCAGTAAATATAACTACTGATATGTTTTAAGAGCTGTTTACATATCAACTGACTTAGTTAGCCCTTTATGTAAGTTAATGTTTATAAGTCACCTTTTTATAAAATGACCAAAGGAAAGTATAAATAAGGTCAGTGTTTATAAGATTGCTGAAGGAATCTGTAGTATTTTTTTGGGAAATGTTAATGTTTGGGCCAAATTCTGTTTTAAGAATTTCCTTACTAAGCTCTAACTGGATTGATTTTTCATAAGTCTCTTAATTTTCTAATTACTTAATTTGCTAGATTGTTATGTCTTTATCTTGACTATCTTTGTACTCCCAAATGTCTAGCATCATGTCTAATAATAACTTTTTTTTTTTTTTTACCAAAAGCTCAGGTATATATAGTAACATAAGAATGCATTTTCTTGTTCCTAAAGTTTTTAATTTACCCACTGATGAAGAACATTTTTTTTTTTTTTATGCCTAGCATTTGTGTTAGTGTAACTGGATTTGTCTTTTTAGGGTAAAATATTTGGAGTACCTTTTAATGCATTGCCCCATTCCGTTGTACCAGAATATGGACACATTCCAAGGTAAGCAGTTTGAAATGGAGAATAAATATTTCAAACTGGTTTTAGATAGAGGGCTTGAAAATAGTTGATTGACACACATATGTTTTAAATCAGCAAAAGATTCCATCTCTCAACATAAGCTTATGTGAAAAATAAAATTTTGAGCTTTTACATAATTTAAATGTAATTTGTGCTTATTTCCAGGATTGAATTTTAATGTCCATTAATGAATAAATGTTAGAAATAAACTTATTTTTGTCTGCTTAATTTTTAGATTTACACCAGTTCTTTTGTCACAGCTCTCTGATTAAATACTATACTAAATTGCCAATTCAGTATTAATTTTTATATTTTTTATTTAAGAAATGTTGGATACAAATATTTAAAATAGAGGTATTTGCGAATATATATTATATAACACTTCAGCTTTTCTATGCCACTTACTATTTGTAAGTAACATTTTGGACTAGCTACATCAAAAAAAATAGTGTTTGTTTTAAGACAATAGTTTTAAAAGGCATATCTTTTCTCTTTAATTATTTTCCCTTTATACAAAGTAGGGTTCATTTTGTCTACTTTAGTCCAATAATTTAGGTGTTAATTGATGCATCATGCAAGAGCATTTACTGAACCCCTTACTGCCCTAATACAATTTTTTCTTCATTTGTCCTTAGATATTGATTCATAGTGTAAGGTAACCACTTATCTGTTTTGCTTTTCACATGATGTATAGAAGACTTCATTTTCCTGAAATGAAAACCTATATTAATTTTCAATATTTGGAATTGCAAAGTCACATCCACAGAATAATGACTAAATCTTTGTTGTAATTTCTTAACCTCCTTTAAAAAACAAACACCAACTATCTGTCAATTACCCTGTATAAGCAGGATTGACATTCACCACTATGCATCAATACAACTATCTCAGTTGTATGTAGCTGGAATACATTTTTATTTGTTGGTATCAGCTGTTGAATATCTAAGTATTTAACGTTAACATTAAGTTTATTGTTCAAAATTTAAAAATTGAACATCCACCCCTTAATATGAGAAGAATTACAAGGACTGGGATATATCCTACTTTTTTGAGGATCAATGGTGGGGTGAGAAAAACTTTACCTTATTTTTTGGGCTAATGTAGTAGATGATGGATATTTAAATCTATGTATGCTTTAAAGATCACCGTGGAGAGAATAGATTAAAAAAGATGACCTTGGTCATCCATATGTCATTCCACCATAAAGAGGTCTAATAAAAGAAGAGGAGCCAGAAAAAGAATTTGAGGAGGAGTTATAGGGAGACAGCAGGAAAACTAGTAGAGTCCTGAAAAAGTATTTTTGAGCAGGGATGGTCAGATGTGTCAAATGCCGAAGGGTTAAGCAAAATGAGCACAATGAATTGACATGTATTTAGCAAAGCAAAAGGCATTGGTAACCTTGATGAGAGCTGTTTCATTAGAGTAATGAGGATAACAATCTGGAGAGGGTCAAGTAGAAGTAGAGGCAATAAGTAAGACAAGTCTATGCTCTGAAGGGAAGCACAGAAATGGAATAAAATTGAAGAGAATGTGGAATTGAGCAGGCACATTGAAGTTAGCATAAGAAGATGAGCCTTAGAGAAAAAAATTAGGAAGGAAGGAAGACGACTAAAAGTTTTTATTGTAAGGATTAAAGAGATTTGTGACATTACAGTTTCTGAAAGTGGCAGAATACTCGGACCACTCATGTGTTTTGGCAGGAGAATAGGGTCTGGTCACTTAAAAAAATCTCTTTCAGCTTTCTTGTTGATGCCTGCACATCTTTACAAGAGCATATTCAGACAGAAGGACTTTTTAGGAAATCAGGATCTGTTATTCGTCTCAAGGCACTAAAGGTGAGCATGTTCTTGAACTATAACTTTTCATTTGTATCATTTTTCTGATTTAGTTTTTATTATTGAAACATCTAGAAATATTATATAAATAATTGATTAGAATTAAATTCAAATAGCTTTTTTCCCAGCAATATAATCTTTTTTTTCTCAAAAGAAATTGTGTCATTTATATAGTGCTTTAAAAGTTTAAAAATTAAGAAAATTTACGAAAGAAAGCTCTTTATTTAGATAATCTGCAATAAAAGCATCCAAAGTGCTCAAGATTATTCATTTATTTCAGAATAAACTGGATCATGGTGAAGGTTGCCTGTCTTCTGCACTTCCTTGTGACATTGCAGGACTTCTTAAGCAGTTCTTTAGGGAATTGCCAGAGCCAATTCTCCCTGTTGATTTGCATGAAGCGCTTTTCAAAGCTCAACAGTTAGGAACAGAGGAGAAGAATAAAGCTACACTGTTGCTCTCCTGTCTTATGGCTGATCATACAATTGATATATTAAGATACTTCTTTAACTTTCTCAGGAATGTTTCTCTAAGGTAAGGGGTAATTAAAAGTTTTGTGAAATGATTGCTTAATTTCTCAACTACCTAAAGATTTACCCTTGTAGATAATAAATTTCATTTAGAATGGAAATTTTTCTAAAAAAAAAGTCCTTACTATAAAAAGTAGACCCTTTTTAATGTAAGAAAGTGTGCCAAGTTATTTATTTTCTTACTGTCTTAAGTCATTATGAGTACTTTGATGGCTTATTGGTCTTTATAAGAATCATTGTCCTCTGAATGGC